TCCAGTATCAGCTCATTGCATCTTAGTACTACTGCAGTCATCAGCAATATGATGGCAACATGTCAGCGACAATTCCCAAAACAAGCAAAACAGATCTGCCAACGCTGGAATAATCTCAGTCCAGGCCAGAAATGCTGCACGCAGACTAAAACTGCACATTAACACGAATGCATATTAATTAAGATGTTGTGTGCAGGTATATCAGACCATCTGTTCCCTTCATCAAGAAAGAAAATACTCTGAGCTCACGCGATCATTCACGTGCAACTTTTTGTAAAGCAACACCTCCTCTCACGTAGACCTCCGGATGACTGACTGATTTCACCGCATGAGCCTTCCACAGAGGGACGTCCAGTCCTGCTGGAATGAAGTGCAGCAGATGTTGCAGGCTTCATGCTGCCAGTCTGCACCGCACTGCGCCCCGCATCCACCCAATACACAACACCAGCGCCGCCGCGCAGACTGCAAGCTGCTCAGCTCCTTTTTATGAACAACGACAGCAGCACCACACACCGTCCTCCACCTCTCATCTGCTTGTCCTGTCTTTCTGTTAGTGCGTTTTCACGCCTCCTCCACCCCTGATCTCCTGACTGTCAGCATGATGCGGACTCCCTGATCAGTGACTTCAATGTGGAGGAGCTGTCATCCCTTAATGCGGTAAACTCCCAGCCCACATCACAACACGCACGCACGCACGCACACTCACAGAGCCGAGCAGAAAGACGCAGTGAACTCTCACTGCAGCGCCGGTGTTTTGCTCCAGAAGCCGCAGAGAGACACTTACAGTACGCAAGAACTGGATTTCATCCTCGCCTTCTCCTCCTTCAGCCATGGTTAGTGTTCACACGGTGAGGCTCGTACAGCGTCTGTGTGCGAGTGTGTGTGTTGTGTGAGCAGAGAAAGGCAACGCATAGATGAACTCCTCTTTCATTGGATGGCTCACGCTCGTCGGGGGCGGAGCTGCACAGGAGCGTGTATGTGTGTAGTGCGCGTGCTCGAACGCTACGTTGGTCGGGTTACTCCCTCTGCTGGCCACTGTGGTCCCTGCCAGCAGAGAGCATTTCCACTAAACCAGGGGTGAGGAACTCCAGGCCTCAATCCTGCAGGTTTTGGATCACACCCTGGGTCAGCAGACCTGAATCAAATGATTCGTTCAGTTCCCGGCCTCTGGAGAACTTCAAGACATGTTGAGGACATAATTTAGCCATTTCAATCAGTTATGCTGGATCAAGGACTAAAACCTGTAGGACACCGGCCCTTGAGCCCTGGAGTTCCTCCACCTGTGGACTAAACAAAGTCACAGTCATCAGTCTGGGTTGTGTATGTTTGTGTATGTAGATTTCAGTTTATCTCATAGTGACAGTAAATGATGACGCTTCAGTCAAAACTGTTATATAATAAGAAAAACTTCAGCGAGCTATGTTCCTACCATCACCTATAGTCACGAGCTGTGGGTAGTGACCGAAAGAACGAGATCGCGGATAAAAACGACAGAAATGAGCTTCCTCCAAGGGTGGTGGCCTCTCCCTTAGAGATAGGGCAGGGACGCCGGAGATCCGGGGTAGAGCCACTGCTCCTCCACATCGAAAGGAGCCAGCTGAGGTGGTTCGGGCATCTGACAAGGATGCCTCCTGGGTGCCTCCTGGGTGCCTCCTGGGTGAGGTGTTCTGGGCATGTCCCACCGGCAGGAATCCCAGGACAGACCCAGGACACGCTGGAGAGATTATATCTCTCGGCTGGCCTGGGAACGCCTTGGTGCTCCTACGAACAACCTGGATGATGTGGCTGGGGAGAGGGAGGTCTGGGCTTCTCTGCTTAGGCTGCCCCCGCGACCCAGAAGAAGATGGATGCATGTTTAAACAGCTTGGCTATATCAATGACTATTTAGTGTCAACTTCTTAACCATCTTTTAAAGTCAAATATGACAAATACAAATTTTGTAAATAAAAAGAATTTGACCTCCTGTATTTCTGCATCATTTAAGTTGACTATAGAATCGAGTAGCCCCTGTTTTCACAAAGAAACTTGAATGGTTTTGTCTTTCCTTCTGGAGGTATGTGGCTGTGGCTTACCTTCCTGCATCTTCATGGTGTTCCTGTTGTCCTCTGGGATACCCAGGTAGCTGTCCTGTATGTCTGCAATTCTGCGTCCTTCAGTCCAGATCACCTTCCCTCTTGTTGCAGCCATTTGGCCACACTTCTCCTGTCAATTACATCCTGAGGTCATTGCTGCAGATGAGTCGATGTTTCGGTCACCCTTAACATACAACCTGACGTCATCCATCCTGGCTCAGGATCACTCCACTCGTGAACCACTTTCAGTGATGTGTCAGCTTAGGGGATTGAGGTGTATGCAGAACAGCAGTGGGAACAGCCCATCACCCTTATATATTCCACACTTCCAGGGTCTGACTGAGTTATTAATGAAGGTAATTAATGTGCCATAAGTCTTGAATTGTACCAAGCAGTTCAGTTCACCAAAAAGTTCAGTTGGTCTTCAGTTAGACAAGCGTGTTCAGGTGTGCTCCAAATGATTGTTACTGGGCGAAAATATTTGCTTTACAGTGAAATTAGTGTTTAAAGTGAAGCTCAGCTTTCTTTGTACGGTTTAAGCTCTAAAAACACTGGAGCCCACATCATCTATGGAGTTGCCTCAGCAGATGATCTGCTTCCATCTTACACTGTCCACATTTTAAATGAAATTATTATTATTGTGCCACATGCATCACTCTGCATGCTGTGTGGACCTGTGAAAGTCAAAGGAACAAGGTGCAGAGGACTCGGTGAGGAGCCACAGAAGAGACCCTGTCTCTGTTAACTGTACTGTCAAGAAACGTCCGAGGCTGCAGCTTGGGAACAACAATTCTACTCTGGAATCACGGGAGGCAGTTGATCTCATTCAGTTCAGTACAATTCAAATCAGTTGTATGTAAACGGGGACAGTTCACAACAACTGTCATCTTGAGGGTGATATAGGGGGAAACTGTACAGGAAAGACCCTATAAAAAGAAGGAACCCATAAAATCAGATTAAAACAATGGGAAGAGTGGGGAGGAAGAACTACCATTTAATGGGAAGAGACCTGTAGCAGAGCAGAGAACAGAGGAAAAGAAACCACAAACAGGACAAACGAAAGCGTCTGAATAGAAATATTAGCTTTTCCTTCTTTCCTGACCGTCTTTGTCACAGTGAAAATTTTAGCATCTTCAATTCTGCCACTTCCAGGTCCACCGTTTCCAAACCACCAATCACAGCAGGTCTCAGTATCATCTTGTAAACTCATCTCCACCCACTTCAACCTACCTGCCCTTTCTTCTTCACTTCTCTTGGTTTGGATGCTTAAGCCCAGGTACGTAAGACTGATCTACGTTCACTGCCTCAACTCTGCATTTCTACCCCCCACACAGACACAGACACACAGACACAGACACACACAGACACACACACACACACACACACACTAGCTTTCATTCCTTTCCCTCCAGGCTCTTGGACACTGCTGCCTAAGCTCATCTGTCATCACTATTGCAACCAGAAAGAAGCTCAGAGCTGATCCCTGATGTGTTCTTCACATTGACCTGCACCACACATCTCACTGTCCTTGTACATCCCCTGTATCATCCTCAAATACTTCTCCACACCTCCCGACTTTCTCAGTTCCCCTCTTGGCAGCCTATCACATGCCTTCTCTAGACAAAGACTCAGTGTAACTCCTTTTGTTCTTCTCTGCATTTCCTCTCTCAACACCCTCAAAGAGAATACTGCATCTGTAGTATTCCTACAGCCCCTGACAAGGACCAGCTAAAGATGCCATCTGTAGTAGTCCTCGGCATGAAGTCATTCTGGTCCCGACCAATCATCTCACCTCTCTTCTTATCCCAACTTTCAGGTTTGTGTTATGGGCATCGTCCATGTCAAAGACAGCTTCTGTTTTCACAGATGGACTTTTTGCTTCTACAAAAAGATGAATCTGAAAGTTAAACTCAGAAAAAAGACAGAGCCAACTTTAAGCTTAAGACTGGTTTATTTTTAATTATCAGAAATCCACAGTCTTCTATGTAAAAATAAAGGGGACTGAGAAGGTATCAAAGTTCCATAAAACGTTGAACAGACACTGCAGCATTAAGATTTGTAAAGAGCACTTAACCAGCAAATCTTTCAACCGTCGAATCTCCTGATTTGACATCTGAACATGGCTGCACCCCGAGCGGTTTAAGATCAGCACTGGCTGCCATCATAATGACACTGAAAAAATATCCAGAAACCTTTTTTCATGGTTTATGTCAGAAAATGTTCTTAACAACAATGCTGTCACATTTGTCCTTTAGTCTGCCAAGTATCTATAACTGATCCATAAACTACATTTACTTTGATAAAATGTTTAGAAAACCAACTACACAGAAATCACAATGTAAACAGTAGTGATCACAACCCTTGTGCTGAAATATTACAATAGTCTGACTAAAGCAACTAGCACCAAAATTATTTGGCAGAAACAGCATTATAACCTGACATAATCCGTCTTCTTTCCCTAAATGTGCAGACGAAGAACAGTTTGAAATGTTTTATGTATATGTTGTTTTTAAACTTGCACATTTCAGTTTCCATATAAGATGCTGCTAAAGTTTTAGAAATAAAATGACCAACGTGAAATTAAAAGTTGAACACATTCTGTGTTTGTCTACAAATCTTCTCTTTACAAATAAAAAGCTAAAGTAAAATCAGTTGGTATTAACGAGCCCTCGTGAGTATCACTGGTTTGATTCGATCTCTTCTGTGCTTCACTTCTTCTCAGTGATCTTTGTTTGAGGGCATGTGTAAATGGTCTTCTCCAACAAGTATTAACCTTTAATTGCACATTTGGAAATCGGCCATTGAATGTGCAGCAACAGCAGTTTTAATTAAGCACTTTGCTTTTTCAATTTTTTTTAAAGAAAATACCACTATGTGCATCTGTGCAGTACCCGACAGACGGATGAACTGTCAACAACTGGCATGAAATGTTTTCCTGTAGTGTTTATTGTAATAGAAAAGTCTGAGGCCCTGTCTTTGTACAGGGATGTCAGTGAGAGGGAGTGACAGCAGTTACAGCAACAACTCATGGGAGCCAAAGTGGAATGGTTGGACTGTAAACTGGATCCTCTGTTGCAGCTTACACTTCATTGTCATAACCCAGGATGGGAGCGAGCCATCTCTCCACCTCCTCCACATTCATCTCTTTCCTGCTGGCATAGTCCTCCACCTACAGATGAGATGTGCACAGAGGCCACACGTTTAGCTCTTGTTTGGGAAGAGACCCGCAGCATATCAACTAAGTTTGGCCGGTGTATGAGCAGAAAGATTCAGGCAGAAATGGAGCGCATAGAGAGACCAGGACGTGGACAAAACAGAAAGCAGCACAGGAACTGGTTTAAGACCTTAAGAAATCATGACCTGCAGATATTAGATTAAAAACAGTCTGTTAAATGAAACTATAGTTGACACATTCTCGTAGTAAACATGTTCAACACTGATGTACAGTGAGGCACATTATCAATGGATACCTGCTCCTTGGTGATCTTTCCAACAGCAAAGTATGAAGCCTGAGGGTTGGAGAAGTAAAGTCCCGACACAGAGGCGGCAGGTGTCATGGCCAGGGACTCTGTCAGACCAATGCCTACAATCACACACAAATGCACAAGTAAACACAAAAAGAAAACAAACACCCACACAACCCTACGCACACATGGAAAAAGTATAGTAAATAAAATGTCCATGAGACAGACAGCAGATCAGTGTGTTGCATAAAAAACTACACCTAGCGTGGTTAGCCTCTCAACTGACATTTACGGGGTGGTTTTTAAGCCGTTGCGTGCACTACATCTGAGGAGATCATTACCTGCTCAGCCTACCTGTGCTCTGTTCTGTCTGGCACCCTGTGCAGATGCAACACCTGGTCTCAAGCACACAGGTATATAAAAGCACCTGTATGCTTTTTGCATGAGTGTGACTTTTCCTCTAAAAGGTGATTTGAAGCACATGAATGCACAATATCAACATACTTAAATAGGTGTAGAGAGTCACCTGAGTCCATGTCCTGGTTTAGTTATAAAAACTGCAGCTGGAGTTTGGAGGCTGTGAAACTAAACCCCTGATTGTGGATTATATGCAGTAATGTGATTTGATCAAATGTTCAAGATACAAATGTGAATACAGAAAGATATTTATGCATATCTGATTATTTTGGCCAGAGGGGCCGATGGCGTGATATGGCAGCCT